TTCAATTTGCATATTTATGGCACTAATTTTAATTTGCTGTCTGGTGATAATACATGTAGACAACTTATGTTTTTTTGCGAGTTGCACGGCCTTGAGTTGAAAAATGATATACTTAACTGTAATGATAGAACCCTAGACTTAGTATTAACAAATATTAACAATTTATGTGTGCATGAAGAATCTCCATTTGGTCGAATTGATAGTTATCATCCACCACTGGGCATTGAATTTCAATTGGTGTATAATAAAGTTGATTATAATGATCCTAGCGGAAAACCTAAGTCGTATAATTTTAATAAAGTAGATTACTTGAAGCTTTACAATTCAATCAGAAGTATCAAGTGGGAATCAGTTTTACAATGTTCTAATGTTGATTTAGCTGTAGATAAGTTCTATTCATTGTTATACTCTGTTTTTGATAGCCTTGTTCCTCTGCATGTTAAAAAGAAACGCAAATATCCACCATGGTTCTCTATTCATTCGATTCAATTAATAAAAAATAAGGAAAAAATAAGAAGGAAATTGAAGAAAAACAATATTCCATTTCATTTTTATGATGATTACAAAGACCTGCGCACTCAGTCCAAACGTAGTATTAAACAAGATTATTTAAATTATATGTGTGATATCGAAAATAGTATTATAAAAAATCCGAATTCTTTCTGGGGAATTGTAAAGAGGCTGAGGTCGAGCAATAATAGTTCCGCAACAATGACACTGGACGGGGAGGAGGTGGAGGGGGGTGAAGCGATAGCCCAGGCATTTGCCACTTATTTCCAATCAGTGTACGTACCTTCCAATCTTGATAGTGAGGAGTTATGTCGTCAGGCAGTTTGTTCTCCAGTACATAATTATATTGACGAATTCACTTTGCATGATATATCTGAAGATGAATTGATTTCGGCTTTTAAGAAGCTCAAGACAAAACGTTCTTCTGGTCCGGATGGCATACCTTCGTACATCTTCAAAGGCTGTGCTGAATTGTTAGTTCCACCTTTATTAAAGATTTTTAATCTTTCTATTAGCAATTCATATTTTCCTGATCGCTGGAAACGCACGAAGGTTGTCCCTATTCACAAGAAAGGAAAGAAAAACGACCTAAAGAATCACAGACCTGTTGCCATTTTATCAACCCCAGCGAAAATTTTGGAATCCTTGTTGTACAATAGAATATTTCTTCATATAAAAAACTACATCACTCCTTTTCAGCATGGTTTTTTCCCGGGTCGTTCCATAAATACCAACCTTCTTAATTTTTCTAATTTCTGCATATCTTCTTTAGATAGGGGAGGTCAGATTGACGTTATTTACACAGATTTTGAAAAAGCGTTTGATACAGTCAGTCATTTGATCCTTTTGTCTAAACTGAATTATTACGGGTTTTCTTACGATGTACTAAAATTTTTCTCCACTTATTTATTTAATAGAAAGCAATATGTCGTATTCCAAGGCTATTATTCTAATAAATTCATTGTTTCATCTGGTGTTCCGCAGGGTTCTAATTTAGGTCCTCTACTTTTCACAATTTTTATTAACGACATTGTTGAATGTATTCATCATAGTAAAGTTCTTCTATATGCTGATGATTTAAAAGTCTTCAAAGAAATAAACACTGTTAATGACTGTATACTTCTTCAGGAAGACCTAGATCGTTTAGTAGGCTGGAGTAATAAGGGCTTAAAATTTCATCCAGATAAATGTGCTGTCGTGAGGTACACAAGACGTATGCAGAATATCATTAATTTTCGCTACTCAATGAATGGTGCTGTCCTTCAGTCTCTTTCTAAAACCAAAGATCTTGGAATTACAATTGATGACAAGTTTTCGTATGCAGATCATATTGCTGAATCCTGTAAGATGGCTTATCGTAACTTGGGTTTTATAATCAGATCTGGGAATTTCCTGAAAGGCATATATGGACTCAAGCTACTATATTTCTCCCTGGTTAGGTCTAGACTTGAATTCGGTTCAATAGTGTGGTATCCACATCATGCTTATCTCATTGAGATGATAGAACAAATCCAAATAAAATTCCTACGGTATCTATTTTTCAAAAGATTCGGCTATTTCACATATGACATATCATATCCTATATTACTGGATCTGTTCGAAATGAAGAGCTTAAAGAGTCGTCGGGATGTACTAATGCTGACATTTCTCCACAAATTGGTCAATGGAAAAGTTGATGATAGCGAGATCTTATCGCTGTTATCTTTCCTCGTGCCTCGTCCCTCGTCCAGAGTCCGTGTTTTCTTTGCTCCTACATTCGCCCGGACTTGCCTGGGTGCCCAGTCTCCTGCCAATGTTTTAATGAGGCTTTATAATACATTACCCCAGGGTATTGATTTATTCAACTCGACCCTAGCCTCTTACAGAAATCAGTTGTTGAATGATAATTTATTTTAAGAATAATTTCATAGTACCATGGCTATAGTCTCAATTCAATTTGTTGTCTTTCAATTTAATTTAAGTTGCTCATTTTCTGTTGTTGTTGTACTGTTGTTTATGTAAAGTGTAATTTATTTAATATTGTGTTGTTGCCTACATGATGAAGAAAAGACATTTTGACACGTGTTCACACAAAGTATATGCTGTATTATGAGTATTTGTACTATGCTGCAATGTAATTGGACGTAAGTCTGTATTGTAGCATTTAAATAAATAAATAAATAAATAAATAAATAAATGCTAACCGCATGGTAAAAAGTGTTAAGTACTTATATGAGAGCTTTTCCTGTTAATTCGTAGGCAGCGTCACCATCGTTGCTATGCTGGTGGCGCTGCCACGAATTGACAGGCAAAGCTCTCTCCGAGTACTTAACACTTTTTACCATGCATTAAGCATTCTGGGTTATGGTAGTATGTTTTCTGTGACCCGAGTGAAACAAGGTGTCTAGACATGCTGATGAAATATTGTAGCTTTGTAGTTTTTACATGTAGTTTTGCCATCAATCAAAAAAACTTCGGAATTCCATCAGGGCTCTGCCCCAGTGGCCTTCATAGTTCCCATGTTATTCTTAGAGAGAAAATGTTTGTTAACATTTGAACAGATGAATACTTTGTAATTGACACTAATATTTGAAACAGCTGGTTGTACTAAAATTGGAGATATTTAGGATTTATTAGATTACCGTAGTTGAAAAGATTGATGTTTCTTTTAGATCAGTTTTGTATTTGCACAAAATCAAAACATAACAAAAAAAAACTTTTGAAATAATGGAGACTATAAGACGTCGACCAGGACGGCCAGGCCAATAGGAGGAGGACGACGAAATTTAACTGGTAGACGCGAACGAAATACAAAAAATACTATTGTCGTTGATAGCCAAATACAGCAACCACCCTTCTGTGTTGGGTTTAAGTATACTCTCCAACAGCTGCCTGAAGATTACGTACATTCAATTTTGGACTGTAGGATAATCGCTGCCTATAAGCTGTTAATTTTGGAATACAAGGAAATCGGAAACAGAAGAGAGGAGATATTAGATGAGTGGCAAATGCGTTGGGAGCAGAGTGTTTTAAACGTTTTAGGCCTATAGATAATCTTTTGGATATATACCTAACATCAGAAAGAGACTGGAACAAGATTGGGAGATGGGCCATTATGAAACACAGTTTGCCACAGGACATGGAAAATTTTAAGATGGATTTGTGGAGATTTAACCTGGTGGAAGAGGAAGTATGTAGATGTAAAGAAATAAAAACCACGAGCCATGTATTTATAAGTTTTCCACTTCAGGAGACAAGTAGGAGAACAGGAATAAGTCTTGGATAAGATAGGTCTAGAGATGAGAAAATAAAACATGATGAGTGACAAGGAAACAATTGAGACGTTTAGAAAAGTAGTTAGGGAAATAGGAAAAACCACTGATACATACAGCCTTTTAAATTAAAAAAAAGAAACAAAGAAAAACCAAGAAAGAAAAGGAATGAAAACTTTTCCATGAAGGGGAGAGGAAAGGTTAGAGCGAATCTCAATGTTTCCTATCGCTCAGGGCGGTATGGGGAAGGGAGTCGTGCTGTTAGGCTTTTGGACACATAATGTGTCTGGACGAGGATTGAAAGTAAAAAGAAAGAAGATTTTCATGGTGAATTGGCCTGGCAAATAAGTCCCAGGGGTGGTGGTGGGAACGAGGAGTTTGCTACAAAAATTTACTGACTTGGCTGAAATTAAATATTTACTGTGCCCGAGTATTTCCATAATCTTTTAAAGTCATCAGAAACTATGACTGTTATTCGTTTTATCATATCGCCTGTAATAGTTAACAATTGCTCGAATTCGAGCAACAGGTACCGTACACTAGTTACGTCTTATATTATTACTTAATTACATATGAGGGCATCCCAACTCTTATAAATGTTCCTCCAACTTTATTTTTTAAACAAATTACTGATACATAAAAGATAATCACAAATCTTTTAAAAGAACAGTATGATATAACAGTATGATATAAAGTATTATTTAAAAATAATTGGTGATCAAATTTTAGTTAGTTGGTGATTGATTGGTTGATGTGTTTGGTTTGTGGTTGTTAGTGATTACCAAGATTTGTTCAAACAAATTTTATTTAAGTAGGCTACTGGCACAATTGTATTTTCCCCATTCAATGACATGTACTCAGTAAAAGTGTATTTTTCATAATTCAAGGAATAATCCAGTAACTTAACACTTACTCTACAACCTTTTATACAATATCAGTTAACACCCTGTATAATTATAATAATTTATGAACCAATCATAATAATGTATGTTCCAACAAAAATCCCCTGTTAATCCCTGCTGTTGAGCGACGGCCAGCGTTGGTCTCGGCTAACACTCTATATTGTTAACCCATTTTTTGGCCGTCCGTTAAAATTGGCCGAAATCAATGATAACCGCTGGCCACGAAACCCCATACTCGTAAACTGCCTCTAAATCTCATAGCTGAGGTCTTATTTATTTCTTAATTTTCATTAATGAACATAACTCTAACATATCTCAATAGTACAATTGTTTTCAGGTTATCTTCCTATCACAGTTGGAGCCATTTTAGTGTGACAAATGCCAGGGTAAGCTAATTACTTTTGCTACCTATTTTGATATTTTATCTATCACTAATATTTTATTAGAGAGCTACTAGAGAGGTACCATAGCCTAAAAATAAAAATTCATTAGGATCGATATTATTTTTAATGTTTCTATGTTTTTCATGGTGACAAATTATCTCAATTGTTCAAACGTTATAAAGTAAAAAATTTAAACATAGGCCTAATTCATTTTCCAATTATGTTTTTCTCTAGGATTTTTTTAAACTTTATTATTAATTTAAAAAGCTATAAAATCACTAAAATGTGGCCTACTGCCAGGAATATAATTCATTTCCTAATTGTTAAAACCTATATGTTGCAATGAATATAAACCCTTAAAGAAGCTTTATATGCTTTAAAATGCTTGATAGACATGTGGTGATCCAACAAATCCATACAGATAATCACGATGGAACCTCTCTATGTCGACCTAATTGAATAAAACATGGAACTGCCGCTGAGTTGCAACGACTAAATCATAATTTTTTTTTAAATGTCTCGATAACAACCGCATGTAGCTCATACGACCACTGCTCTATGACTCCAAAAAATGGCATTGTATATAGACAAATGAATTAAAGGTTAAAATACCTGCTTGTCGCCTTGTGGTCCAAAGTATTGTCCTAGTGGATTATGTACATTTCGGCGCGAGCGCCATCGTCGGATCCGTATAAGAACTGTTAACACCAAACTTCCCTGAAGAGGTGCGTAAAATGTTCACAACACAAAACACACATAAAAACCGGTCGACCGTTAACTAACATTTTGTGTTGTGAACATTTTACGCACCTCTTCAGGCAAGTTTAGTGTTAACAGTTCTTATACGGATCCGACGATGGCGCTCGTGCCGAAATGTACATAATCCACTAGGACAATACTTTGGACCAGAAGGCGACAAGCAGGTATTTAACCTTTTATTTATTTGTCAATCAATTGGTCCGGAAACACCACAACAAAATATAATTGTATATAGGTTTTCCAACGAGTCTACTCCCACCACCCTCAGAAGACCTGTCGCTGAACAGTGCGCTGCAGAAAATGGATCGGTTTTTTTGCCGCACCCTGTAGTTATCTTGGTTGTACTGAAAGTTTTTATTTATTTATTTATTTATTTGTATTTTTTACCTACATTTGGTAACATAAAAAAACCATCCAAACTTTTATAAATATCTATATATATACTAGCTGACCCGGCGAACTTCGTATCGCCTAAGTTATAGGTTTCCCCTAAGACAGACCGATGGAAAGAAAGTACCGTTACGTTTAATTTTCAAGATGATCTCGTTCGCATCGCTCAATCACGTCCTGGTTGAAGTTCGTTTGCTACGCTCACTCACCTTTGGGTTGGAGCTCGTTCGCTACGCTCACTCACCTTTAGGTTGGAGCTCGTTCGCTGCGCTCACTTGCCTTCAGGTTAGCTCGTTCGCTACGCTCACTCGCCTCCAGGTTGAAGTTCGTTCGCTACGCTCACTCACCTTTTGGTTGCAAATTAGCTGTTGTCATAAATGTAAAAGAAATAATAGTGCTGCACCCTGTTGGTAATCCTTGTAACTTAATGCTATTGAACATCATAGAACAGAACCAACTTGTTTAATTGAAACAGCTGTTAAGATTCATTAATTCCATTTCTCATAAGGTTAACATGGGAAACTCCAGAGCCACTGGGGCGGAGCCCTTTTAAGAATTTCGAAACGGGAAATAGTTTACGTCCGATTCGCATACCTACAGAATTTACACACCAAATTTCATAACGATCGGTGAAGTCGTTCCGGAGGAGTTTGCAGACAAACACTGTGACACGAGAATTTTATATCCTTATATATAATTCTGTAAGACAAAATCTTTACCAGAAAATTGTGGACGTCTGGTAAGTGGCAGAAAAGTGGGAGGGGTCTTAAATTAAAGGTCTTGACCCCAGGGACTCGGGAAAAATAGCAGAATTCCCATAAAGTTAATAGAAAACGAGATATAACGTAAAATATCCACCATAAAAAAGCATGGGGACTGAAAAACTACTGAAAATTTATTTGTAATGTTTACATTTATTCCGAAAGTCAATGTGTTTCAAAATGAAATGTATTCGTTTAATTTTTTGGTTTCCGTTTTTAAAATGAGTGAAGTAACTAGACAGGGTAGGGGAAGACCTGCAAAACGTGGAAGAGTATCCAGGAATTCAACTAACACAAGAAACGCTGAAAGAGAACGTCATGTAAGGCCTAAATATGAAAATCCACAAGCTGGTTTACAACCTGCCTTCTGAAGAACGCTGGAAAAGGAGTTGAGTGTTTTTTCTCACAATCTATTAGGTCCTCCTAGCACTTGCATGCATTGTGGCGCATTATTCGCAGAGGAGGCCACAAATGGACATTTCGATGCATGTTGCCATGGACTATTTAACATGCCACAACCACAATTAAATTACGAACTAAAAGTCATGTTTTTATGATTCTAACTTCATAAAAAGTATAAGGCAATACAACCGTGCAATGGCTTTTGCGTCGCTTTCCGCTACACATAAAGAGATTCCAGGGAAATGGGCCTTCCTGTTTTAAAATTCAGGGACAAATTCATAGATATATTTCTGACTTACTACCGCGAAATGGGGAGTTGCCTTCATAATATGGACAATTGTGTCTAAATTAGGGGCTATGGCCCCTACAGGCCACTAGTATTAGATAATAGGCAAAGCCCTCACTGACTGACTGACTGACTCACTCATCACTAATTCTCCCACTTCTCATTTACCTAGGAGGCTGAAATTTGGTACACTGATTCTTTAGGCATTAAATAGGAAAACTAAGTTGTTTTTATTCTGATCGAACTCTCGGGCTCTGCCCCAGTGGCTCTGGAGTTTCCCATGTTAACCTTATGAGTACTCATATTTAAATGGAATTTATGCATCTTAACAGCTGTTTCAATTAAACAAGTTGGTTCTGTTCTATGAAGTGCAATAGCAAGGATTACCAACAGGGTGCAGCACTATTATTTTTCTTTAATTTATGACAACAGCTAATTTGCAACCAAAAGGTGAGTGAGCGTAGCGAACGAACTTCAACCTGGAGGCGAGTTAGTGTAGCGAACGAGCTAACCTGAAGGCAAGTGAGCGCAGTGAGCGAGCTTCAACCTAAAGGTGAGTGAGCGTAGCGAATGAACTTCAACCAGGACGTGAGTGAGCGTAGCGAACGAACTTCAACCAGGACGTGATTGAGCCATGCGAACGAGCTCACTTAAAAAGTAAAACGGGGCAAAGCCCTATATCTATAAAAAAAAGGAACTATGTATGTATGTATGTGTGTGTGTGTGTGTGTGTGTGTGTGTGTGTATATACGTTATGGACTCCGAAACCGCTCGACAGATTGTAATGAAACCTTCAGGCATTATGAAGCATCTTTCAAGGATGGTTCGAGTGAAGTTTGGTGCAGATCCGTGAAAAGGGCTCTGCCCCAGAGTGTTTTAAGTGGGCCAATGTCAGACTTTTTGATCTATAATGTTTAGAAATAAATATAATTTAAAAGCAGATGTTTACTTTCACCAACTGTTTTGTAGGTTTGAATAATCACAACATTCTTTATTAGCATTAGTGATGATTTGAAATAGTGCCACAGTGTTTCTACAGATTGCAGCACAGAAAACTATTTTACTTTTGAATAAGTCCAAATGTATTAAACCCCAATCGCATCACACCTGTGCACCTAACAACGTTTAAATTCTCCAATGTTAAATATTAAAACATAAAAACCTTTATCAAAGTACTGTACTGTATAATAAACAATAAAAGGGATGACTTTTAACAATTTTTGACAACAGCTAATTTGCAACCAAAAGGTGAGTGAGCGTAGCGAACGAACATCAACCTGGAGGCGAGTAAGCGTAGCTAACGAGCTAACCTGAAAACAAGTGAGCGCAGCGAACGATTTCCAACCTGATGGTGAGTGAGCGTAGCGAACGAACTTCAACCAGGACGCGATTGAGCCATGCAAAAACTTATGAAGTTAAGCGGGGCAAAGCCCGCGGGTACAGCTAGTATTATAGCCTATATTTATAGGCCTATTTTTATTTCAGTTCTAGAAAAAAAGGTTTTATCAAAATATTTGCAAAAATAAAAAAGTTATATCTTAGCCATTTTATATAAGCATTGCGTTTTAGTACAAAATGGCCTCAGCCGTTCTCGATTATAGGAATGATAAAATGCTGGCGACAAAAGGGTTTTAAGCCGACTCTTTATCTCACTCTCTCTCACTCAGTCAGCTGACTTGGCTACGCACTCACATTAGTCTACCTAGCATCGGTTGCGGGAACTATCCGAAATTCAAATATCCCCAGACTGAAATTTAACAAAGGCGTTGTGCTTCTTATAGGTTTTGTAAATCATTAGTGTAGGTCACTGATAAGATATAATGGATGCTACATATTACAAATTTGAATTAGAATGGTTAGGCCTATTTTGTATTTTAGGCCTAAAGGTATATTTAATAAATTTTTCTATTGAAAACGTCTGTGACATTGCCATAACCTTGATGACTAAGCAACTTTATTGAAAATTATTTTGAAGGTTATCAAGTGATTGGCTCAGAGTAACTGGTTTTTGCCTAGACACAAGCCATGCAGTTGAAGGTGGCTTTGAAATAGAGAAACATCTATTGATCTGTGTTTTGTCTGATTATACAAGTTATAACTTAAAACCCTATTGAAAATTATGTTCAACTTAATTGTTGGTGAATTCACCTATCATTAGTGTCCTCTCCAGATCAATGAATCAGTGTTGTAAAACACATGAATAATACCATTTTTTTATAATCACTAAAACATATTTAAAAAGTATTTAAAATCACTAAACAAACTTATCAAAACAAAATTTATTTTGATTTATTGAAACACTTGTGAAAAATATTCAACACATGTAATAAATAGAGAACAGAAGAAAATAACTGTGCCCAGCTATATGGAGAGACTAACTGTCAACTTCTATTTGAGACCGTGAGTAAACAGTTGATAAGAACGACAGTTATAGCTCTGTGAGGGAAGGGAGGGGAGGCTACTGATCACAACTCTTACTTCAGTTTGTTCTGATAACTCGTGATAACTAAACTGTCGCAACTGACTTTCATTACAAGTCAAGTAGTGAGTCATCAGCTGCATTTAGCTTATAACATCAAGTGTGTAGTGAAATGTCAGAGACACAGAGAGATCCAGATTTGAGTCCAGAACCAGTGGAACTCCTAGGGTTGCCACATAGCAAGCTTTATCTGAGAAGGAGGAAGGATCATGATGATGATTACGAGGACATTGATGAGGTGTCACCTTTGCCTTCGCCTCCTTTTAAGCCTGCTTCAAAGCCGAGAGTGTTTTTCCGAGAGAATAAGGATGAATTTAACTGGAGGGGGGAAAATAAAAATGTTCCTAGGTAGGCCTATAAAAATTTTCATTTAAATATTAGTATATTTGATAGGCCTATCTATATTATTACATAGTAGCCGAAAGTTTTAAATAAATATTTTCTAAAACAACAGCTTTCCCGAAAGTTTTTAGTAGTAAAATAAATCTTTTACAGTAGTTTTAGTTTCAGGTAGGCCTAGCTATACATGGTTACGATTTTATGTGATTTTGCATATTAGGAAAATTGAAAATATACGATGTAAGTATCTTCTAAAATTAAGTTCATGAAGCTTTCTTTACAGTTAGAGGTGGTAGTAACAGATTCTTAATATGTTACGCCTATATTGATTAAAATCTTATGTTTGAGTGTAATCTAACTTGGCTGTGACCAACTTTAAAGAGCAATGATACATTCTTGGAATGTACTAATTTGTATAATGATTATTAAATTATTTTGCCACATTATAAATCGTTTTTTACCACCCTCATTAACAACCAGTAATGATGTTCAATAGTTAATAGTTTAGTTGAAACTACTTACATGTACCACTAATACCCCTATATTAGACAAAGAGGAATCAAGTTGACTCTCACATAAATTAGTTACTAGTTGCTAGACAGGCAGTTGACTGGTGCTCTCCAATTGACTCTGTTTTGAATGTTGTAATTAGATGCCAACTCATCAGCAAACTGGCAATTATTGTTGCTACAGTATCATGAGTCAGCTGCTAACATGTTTCCCTCTCTTGCAGTGTGACCAGTAACATGAACGTGGGCAACATGTTCTGTTCCCGCTGCGGGGATGGATTTGAGCCCCATGAGAAGATTGTCAATTCCAACGGTGAACTGTGGCACACTCAGTGTTTTGTGTAAGTTGTTAAAGTTACTAATTGTGTAGATTACTTAACTTTGATTTTCTAAGGTTGCCCCTTTCAAGTCAACTCTCAGTTGATTTTTATATGGATTTCCTACATGAACTCAGATCCTAGCAAAGTTAAAAATTAAAATCCTCGAATAATCTTTAGTTTGCAGTCTAGAACCATGCCACTCCGCATGTGTTAGAGTCATTATTTGAAATTGTTGTACCGTACATTGTTCAATTTTTTTCTGTTTTCATTATTTTACGAAAGTTTTTAAATAAATCTTAAAACATAAACAAAAACAAAAATTGTATAGAACCCCTGAAAACAGTACAAGCAATTTTCATAAGACTTTGAAAAAATGTTCTAAACTATTCAAAACTGTAATATTGTCATTTAAAAGTACTTCCACATTTTTGAAATCCTATTATTTTATAAGCGTTCTTTACTGAAAGCTCAATTAAAACCTTGAGTAATTACCAACAAAAAATGGAATAGGCTATGGACTTAACTAGATGTATTTAGTTTTCACTCAATAACATTATATTTGTTGTTTTATAGTTGTGCCCAGTGCTTCCGTCCATTCCCAGATGGGACGTTCTATGAGTTTGAAGGGAGGAAGTATTGTGAGCACGACTTCCACGTACTCTTTGCTCCATGCTGTGCCAAATGTGGTCAGTACTTTTTAATTGGTCTGTTAACATTTTTAATGCTTTTTAAAACAACGACCAATACATTTTTTTGTATTTTATCTATAACAAACTTTATTTTAGAAAAAAAATGATTCTTTGTGACACGCTTCTTATTTTTTTAGTGTGGTCAAGCATGTAACAGATGCTCTGTATTTTTATCTGATAAAAAAGTGTAGGGAGTCTTGTAATATATGTTCTGATCTTAAAGGTAAAAAATTGATGAATATTTAAATTTATTGCTTACTTTTAGCTTTTGGCCTCATTAATACAGATCTCCTACTATAGCAAGTTCAGTTTGGTCTAAGTTTGTGTTGGAGATTGTATATGTTAGGAATCTTTGTGTATTAAATCAATTGGTACTGGTAGTAAGCTGTAGATATCAGTAACATTTTGTGATAAGTCTCAACTAGAGATATGTGCAAGAAGCTCAATTGTTGAGCCTAGCCTACTAGTTCGAACTCCAAGCTGGAGCCAAGGTAATCGGGATCTCAGATGTTGATATAATATTAACTCAATAACATTTTGCCTTAATAATAATAATAATAATAATAATCTCTTTATTGCTTTTTGACAATTATACATTGTATAGCAAACGTCAGTCAGTACAAAAAATGCAACAAATAAGATAAAATATAATATGTAGCTGTGTAAACTAAGATCGGAAATTGGGTAGGTAGGCTATTTATTTATAGAATCTATATATTTAATTTAGGAGAGGGTGATGATGTATGAGGATAATTTAATAACAGGGTTTTGCAGCGATCACAGAAGATGATGATGTTTTTTCCATGAGTGTGAGAATTGTCCAAGATTGTTTTGCGATGGCAAAGTCGACGATGAATTTTCCATGAGCATAGGATTTCTCCAGGATTTTTCTGTGATCACCGAAAACTTTAATGATATATTTCCGTGGCCAATGATGCATATTGCACTAAATTTATGATTACCAAATTAATATGGTACAAATAGGTATGTAAGTTTGAATTGCTTTTTTAGAGAAAAGATTATTGAGAAAATAATTTTGTGGTATTACATAGAATTAATTAATTAAAAAAGCTCGGATTGAAAAAAGGTTAACGTTCAATAATTTTCCCGAAGCTCAAAACTCGCACACTTCTAGTCTCAACAACATCTATTTCCAGGAGAGTTTGTGATCGGCCGGGTGATTAAGGCCATGAACGCCAACTGGCATCCGCGTTGTTTCCGCTGTGAGGAGTGCAGCAAGGAGTTGGCAGACCTGGGCTTCATCAGACACCAAGGTCAGGCTCTATGTCATGACTGTCGTGCTAGGGCTAGGGCTACTGGCTACGGCCGCTACACCTGCCACAAGTGTCAGTAAGTATCCTGCCGCAGTGTTGCAGCTATAAACATTCAAATATTTATCACATTATTAATGTGACAGGATTCTTTAATTTAAGGAGAGAAATCAATTCCTGAGGCTGTGAATTTTCTTAAGCCTAAATGAAGTTACATTTTATTTTAAACGCACAAGCAGTGGCGTAACAGCAGACCCCGCGGTGCGGGGGGGCCCGCGAGGTTTAGGGGCCCGCGAGGTTAAGATACCCTTTTCTCATAAAACCGTCCGTAAAACCGATCCTTTGTTCACAAATGTTTTTCTCTCCTGACAAATTATAAATAAAAAAACGATGTGTTGGTAGATACTTTTATTCTGCCAAATCTACTAAAGTTTTATCTTTTAATTAACAATATTGTTAACGAAACGCCAACGCTCACTACGATCACCCGACGATGTGTATTGTCAGTGTGGTTGTGTAGCTTCATGCTAGCGCTAGGAGCTGTGTGCCGGGCCTGCCTGCCGGCCTGCCGCCGCACCGTGGCGACACACACTCGGAGCCAGCCCCTCCGCCTCCCCCCTCCCCCACTAACCGCTCACGTGTACTCAGCTGACCGTAGATCACCTGATTTTGGAGATCCATTCCATGCGGATTGCGAGTGACTCGTCAGTAGTGCATGTCGCGAGAGTTTCTCAATCAGGTGGCATGTCATTAAATTGGGCTAATTTAGTGAAGCACTAACATTTACAGTTGGGACCACGAAAGTTTGCAGTTGGCGGCAGCCAATCACAAGACTAGTGCGACGTTGCCATATCGCCCTTTGACGACACTAATTAAAATACTAAATAACATTTTTTAAACAGCTGGTATTATTCGATTTGGCAACACCGCACTGCCCTCATTGGCTCATTTGAAGTCAAATGGTAAATATGCTACTCCCTCAACTGCAAACTTTCGTGGTCCCGACTCAAATTATAGTTGGAAGCTTGGTTGAGTTTAGTAATGAATGTGAATGGTGGAGTAATGGAGTAGCCCATATATATTAATCACGGACATAACTCCCAAGTTTATTATCACTGTGACAGTGACAAAATATAAAATATGTTTCAAGGACGACTCTGGTCGTGTGGTTGAAGAATAGGTAAATACTTGATATTGCTAGAGACCATCCTCTGCCAGTCTGATCGTGTAGGCCGTATGCCTGCCGTCACCTACGTCATGTGATAGTTGTGGTGTGGTGATGGTTGTGGTATATAGTGCTGTGGTGGGGAATGGGAGGGGTAGTAGGGGGCCCACAGACATATTTGCGGGGGGGCCCGGGGAAATACTGTTACGCCACTGCGCACAAGAAATATCTTAGAGGCTTGATTACACAAGGGTGGGTTTACGAGACTAGCTGGAGAGCAAAAATAGCAGGTTTTTAGCTGTTACATCATGCAACTCCCACTACTAACCAAATTCTCTGTCATTATTAAGACTAATGCTACCTGTTCAATTTGCACTGGCAATTGTGATTGTACTTGGATAGTTTTAGAGTTTAGTCAGCTCAAAATCCGATGAGTGGTGTGTAAAGTTCATAGCAGAGTCAACTTTCTGAGGTTTGACAGAAAAGCTATCATCCTAGTGCAGCGAGTACACTGGGTATCTTTCAATTTTGGGGTCATAGCTCTACAATAAGCTAATTTTTGTTGAGAGTTAAAACTTAACACTGGATTAGAACCTTGGTTTTCACATTTTAGAAACAGTTCTTGTAGTTTTAGTGTCATTGTGTACATCTTATCATAAAATTGTTTTTTTAAATAATTTAATTTCGCAAAATTTTGAGATGAGCTAAAGTGATCAGTTAAAACTTGTGTAAGTAATTTGGAAAGAACTTAATATCAGAATGCCTCGGGAACATTCTTGGATTGAGCTGTTGGTTTAGAAAAAGAGCAGTTTTACCTTAAAAACACAAAAATAAATGCTAAATAAGGGAAATAAAAACAAAAAAATATACTACAGTAGGCTATGGTAGGTAGGTATTAAAGGTATGTTACATTGTTTGTCCCTGCTTTTATACTTTAAGATTTAATATTTTGGTTACTTGTACAGTATTGCAACATATCCCATGTGAAGTTTTTTTAGTCACTAGACTATTTTGTGATACAATTTGTTTGTTTTTTGTTATAGTGGTATGATTGATGACAAGCCTCTCCGTTTCCGTGGTGAGGTCTACCACCCTTACCACTTCAACTGTGCAGCGTGTGGGGTGGAGCTCAACTCTGACGCCAGAGAGGTCAAGAGTCGTCCTGGCTTCACTGCTAATGATATGGTTGGTGCCTAAACTAGTTAAATTTGCCAAGGCCTCTTTTTAATTGTGAAGCTCGCCCAAGTGGTTGACATAATTTAGATTAAGTATTTCTTTTGGTTCCTGATTCAAAGGCTGTCAACACTGAGGCACCAATGTCGTGCTTGTTATGTTATGTATTTGGTTTTTTTAATGTTCAGAGGTAGTTTCTACTGAAGTTACTTTGTGTTAAATTGTTATTGCTGTGTTAATTGCTATGCTTTGTTGACAGAATGAGCTGTATTGTCTGCGCTGCCATGACAAGATGGGTATCCCTATCTGTGGTGCTTGTCGTCGGCCGATAGAAGAGCGAGTTGTCACTGCTCTTGGCAAACACTGGCATGTTGAGGTGTGAAGATGTTCTAGAAATATTTAAAACCATGTTGTAAATTTGTAATAAGTAAAACAACAAAGACCACAGGCATGAACAAGGATTAATTACTTTTATGTTCGTGTGTAGACGAAACATAAGTCTATGAAATTAAGTTGCTTATAACATTTTTTCAAGTATTTTTGACCTGAAAATACAAAAGCACAAATGTACAAAAAATAAATTTACCATAGCTGTTCCTTGTTCAATTTTAACTCAAGCTGGTTTGATCTCAAAAAACTTTAGTCTCCCTAATTAAGTGTAGAGTTCTAGTGATCTTGACTAAAGAAGCATTCATTACACAAACTTAAAAGTAAACAAGTAGTTAGCACAAAAATACCCACAACAATCAACCCTTAGTTTAAAAATACCTACCATAATTCTACGGAATGAGTAAATTTTAATGAAACAATGTTCAAAGTCTTTGTGTCTTCTTAAAGGTTATCCATTGTAGAAACACTCCCAAGACACTGTAGTATGAAGTCAAACAAGTACAAATTGCTATCCCACTATCATTTTGGTAAAATTTTATTAAAAGAAAATGATAATACCTTGTGGTTCCTTAAGCTGGTTTATTTGATTTAAACGTGTGTTCCAGCACTTTGTGTGTGCCAAATGTGAGAAGCCATTCTTGGGACATCGTCACTATGAGAAGAAAGGGTTGGCATACTGTGAGACCCACTACCATCAGCTGTTTGGTAACTTGTGTTTTGTGTGCAATCAAGTCATTCAGGGAGATGGTAAGTATTCATTTTAACAGTTCAATATTTGTATTGTATTTTCTATATTTGTAAGAAACATCATTGGGTTGTACATCAAAGATTGTGCAAACATCATTGAGCACATGTGGTTTACTCTTGATAATGTCTCCAGATAGCCGAACGTTTTATAGCTAAACTAAGCTGTAAAAAGTAGAGATAAAGACATTTGAATGAAGTCTGTCAAGGTGTATACCTGGCCTGTATTTTGACATTTCGTATCACATTAGGTTTACGTTGCATTTGTGAATGTATGGTCATTTTTCTCCTTTTCCATTTGCAGTATTCACAGCCCTCAACAAGGCGTGGTGTGTTCACCACTTCGCCTGCTCTGTTTGCGATCAAAAGATGAATCAGAAGACCAAGTTTTACGAAATCGATTTGAAGCCAGTCTGTAAGAAGTGTTACGACAAGTTCCCCGGGGAGTTCCGTCGTCGTCTGCGTAAAGCTCATGAGGCCACACCGAAGAAAACAACTCCATAACATCAACATCAGCCGGCCTGTTTATTCTGCAGGCACTGCAAGGATTGTTAACCTCGTATACCAAGGAAAACAAAATAACTTTGTTCCACAGGAACCTTTCAACATTCACAACAGAAGTAAGATATCCTTCATATTTGTTGGGTATGTAAATGATTTTTGAAGTCTATTGTCCTTTTTATTGAAAGGGTAATGTGGAACAAAGTATGTTTAATAAAAAATGAACTAACAGTATTTAAACATTAGAGTTAGTTGTAACAAGTGAAGTGTGTTCAGCTTTTATCGCTATATAATGAAGTTGCCTTGCATATTTATTTAGTTGATGGGATTGTGGTTACAGAATTTTGATTGTTGTAATTTAAGTTGTCATTAAGAACTTGGGTTAATTCACTTGAAGTAAATATCATTGATAACCTTAAAGACGAAAGTGGTTCTGAAAAGCAGTTTCACTGAGAAACGCTTGATAAATAAAGGAATTTTTAGTTATTTATTTGATTTATTTAACAGTGGCTGATATTTTATTTATGACTATCTAAGACCATCGCAAAGGATATGACCTCTCTTTGATGTTATTTTGACAACTTGACCTGCTCGCACAATGTGTTTTACATCATCTGGAGTGGTGAGGGAGGGGGGATTAAATTGAAATATGTTATACTTTTCCCCTACAATACTTGGGATATACTAAGTAGCAAATATTGATTATCAGGATCTAGTAGGTTATCCTCAATGATCCTCCCAACACAATTGTTCCGCTTGGATAGGTATTTCAGACTGTTTTCATTTATACACGATTTATTAACACATGGTGCCTGTTGTATTATTGTTAGCTATATTGCTAGAAAACACTGTTTTATTTATTGTTATGAAAGTTAAAGAAACATTCTTGACACCAGTACTTAAACTAAACTTCAACTAATAGCCATTCTCAAATTGTAATACTAGGCCTAATGTTATTATATGGATATATTGTATTTAGATTAAAATGTCTATTGAACATAAGCTCCACATTTAATTGTTCCTTATTGAAGAAAGATAAATCAAATGTGTTATTTACTGTAGAACTTTTATTGTTATAAATGATAGATTGATAGTCTGGTTAACACTGCCTTCCTAGAAATGTGTCTTAGTCACTTAGTCAGTGTCAAATAAATTAAATAAAAAAAAACCTTATTGAATACAGTTATTGCTATAGTAGTAATATTATATACAGTTATTAGTCTAAGAGGTTTAACCGGTTTTAAGAATATAGAGTATTTATCTAGCTGTTTCCCTATTCTTTACCATTATAGCCTACCATGTTTAATGTATGATATTTTATAATGAATGGCCTAGTTTTTATGAAGTTGTTATTTTTGTTCTCTGAATATATTTATCAAAAACTAATACGTTATATTTTGCATACAAGTCTAAATGTAGACTAAAACACTACTGGAAACTTCCAAAAGTGTTCTTAGCCTACACATTACATCAATCATGAGTCTTGGTACAGATATTCAAACCTTTGACTTACTAGTATTTAAAAATCCTCTATCAGTGGCAAGACACTGTTGTCTTGCTACTGATAGAGAATTTATAAATACTAGTTAGTCAAAGGTTTGAATATTGTAGCATAATTTGGTCACCCTATTTTGAGCCCAAATTTGATTTGGTAATTACTGACATATTTTTTAAGTTGACAATTTTTTTACTTTTGATCTTTACATAGTTAAACAAAATTGAGGTTAAAAAATATTACTTTATACTTTATATATTTACTAACCTAGAAAATGTGTTATAATATTTATTGTGAATTTACTGTAAGCTACAACTTGATGAATTTGGAAAATATATGATAATTTTTACAGGGATATTTATTATACAATTTGTTATTTGGAACAAGAGGTTATAGTTAATTAGTTAACATGTGCTGTACGGTAACAAATACTCTTTAATGCAATGGTACATAAGAGTGTTATTGAAAGCCCAAAGTAGCTAAGTGTGTTGTGCACAAACTGTTATAACTAATAATTTATTGTCTTTTAATTATTATACTAAAATAAGCATAAATAAAATACTGACCATGTATATTGTTGTTTTATAAACCCCATGATACATTTAAGGATAACATTAAATTGAGTTACTTGCCTTGTTCAGGAATATACATACATTTTAAAATATATTTTAATTAAAATAAACAATTATGAACTGTTATACCTGTGATTCACAACGGGAAGAGCCCAGCCATGCAAATATATTACTGCTCTTTAGATAGGCTGTATGAAATAGTTACATTTATTATTCATTCTAGAAACAACAAACAATACTTAATTATCTCTTGATGTAAATAACTCATGTAGTTAACTCCGTTAAGGGAAGGTACAGTTGTGTTAGTATTTTTTTTTTAGTATACTCTATATGGCTATTTTTGGCCTCAATACATCCAATATATCAATACATTCAGTATCCAGTTGGAACCCTTTCTCACGCCGAAGAGCCTTTTTTTGAATTATCAACAGATTGGTAGTAGTAGTAGACCTCCCAGTAACACCATGCTAATTATCAATTATTGCAGTAATCCATGCTGACTGTTGTCAACTTCAAATGAGCTTCAACAGAATGTCCAAAACCAAGCTCTTAAAGGCCATAGAGATTGCAGATAAAAATAAAATTATTACGTGATGTAACTCTTTAAGTCAGTGGGATCACCAGATTTAGACACCGGAACAAAATTACCAGAGGCATTGAGGGAATTTCTCACATGAGAGAGAGCATTGTTAACTCATTGAAGAGGCGCAGTCAAAATATCACAGCAACAAAGAAGGAGGAATTTGACCAGGGTCAGCATTCTATTAGGGATGCAACTGAGATCTTGCGCTTTTGATTTCATCTGTGGTGAAATTAAGTGTGCTGATCAAATTATTGGTCGGAGTATCAAAAACAGGTGCCTTTTGTACTTTGGAGTGATTGAGTGACATTATTTGTGAATCATTTCTTACGCAGAGAGCAGAGGCATTATTGAGACAATTATGATCAATGTGCACACTGCAGAATCGATTGAAATATCCTTTGAATTTTGTAAGTCTATTTTTAACGATTTGTATTATTAAATCAAAAAATTAAATTGTTTAAAATCAAAATGCTACCTCTGCAGGCATACAAACATAATACCAGACCTGTACAACCTAAGAATTATAGCTTGATAGAACTAGAAATTCCATCCCCACGTTAAGTTGTCACCATAATAGTTTGTTAATCCAAATTGACGGATGTTGCTGAATTGAGCCACGACAGAGTGTGCTGATTTCAATAAATTATTTTTTACAAAAAATTATAATATTATTATTAATAAAATAAATACATATTTATAAAATAAATAAAATTATTGTATATTGGCCTTGTTGAATTTGTAAATTTCATGTTTCATGTTGTCCATACATTTCATTACAAAAAATTATGCCAACTTTTTTATTAAGTCAAACTGATATGACTGACGTCTTAGCTAATTGCTAAAATATATTTTTATGCCATATTGCTTTTTCAGTAACAAAAACAATGACAGAAAATAGCATTTTAGACTGTGGCGCATTCTATGAGTAATTCATTCAACTACTGTACCTTCTACTTAACCATCGATGTAGTCTAACGATATAGTTAGATTATAATACATCGATGATTTTAACCAGAAATAGGATTTGTACTACTGGTCCATGGATGGGATTTCTACTTAGTAGTGTCCACAAGTCTTTGAGTGAAAACTAAATACTGATGGTTAACATGTTCGGTTCCATGAGAACTAGAATTTGAATTTTGGAGAAATTTGTGAAAATCACATGACCATGCAAAACTAAACTACCTCAACATAATATCGATGCCACGAATACTAGAAAAAACCTACGGTACACAAATAATGGTTCGGTTGCGTGAAACTAAAGTGTATTTTAAATTATGGTTTTAATTTAATTTGACTTTGAACACATTACAATAATGGAAACTAATAAAATAAATGTAACATAACAGTTCTTATAACCAATTTTATAGCTACTAACTGTTCGGGTGAAAGAACAAGTACAGACAATTACTTATATTCAACAAAAAACGTTCCGATCCAGGTCTCCGACCACATTGCATTGCAACAGTTTCACAACCGTTGCAGTTGTGCCTCTAATTTTATAATCACAGTGGCCGACTTTTTGCTCGAACGGGAGCGGAACAATAAACTTTTTCCGCCGTTGATTATGGAGTTCGACAGTTTAAGTGATCCTGCTAAATCACATTAGCCGTTGACTAATCGTACATTTGAATTCGAAATTCCCAATGAGTTAGACTTCCATAAATACAACGCCTACAGGTGGTCAGTGCTGTATCAAGATTTGCAAATGTTTTTAACTCGATCATATCGGACTGAATTTGATTTGGAGTTTTAAAATGGTCCACCGTGCCGGATGTTAGTTTGTCTCCACTCCTTGTTTTCCGTGTGTTACACAGTAATTACCCAGTAGGTGGCAATGACACACCCAACCGCTACTGGAATACTTGTACACCCATTAATCTCCGTAGGATGATTTATTTTTTTAGTTCTAATCGTCATTTTTATAGCCAGCAGAACATATAGGGGTACAATTTATTTTTAATGGCCAGACTGTTTAATGTAAAGCACTCGTTGTAAATGATATCTGTAACATAACTTGTGCCTGTTTTGCAATTATGCGCAATTAAAACGGCGATAAATTAATAATTTGCCATGCGCCGTTACTGTTGACAGTGTATCAATGGCGTTGGTGAAAATCCTTGAGCGGTAACAATATATGACAATTCCTGTACCTGGCAGGCTATTGCTCAGAATAGTCATTTGCATCCATTTTTCATGTATTTGTGTATGATTTAATGCATCGAGAGTCTTCGTTAAGCGTGGAAATTTTATACAAGAGGTTAAGTTACCCTTATTCCGTTTAAGTCCCTAATCCTTCGTTATTAAGGCAACCGGTTACGATGCCTTTTATTGTCAAGCGGGACGTAAAATCGCTCCTAGGAGGTCGTCATGAGTCTTGAAAAATAAGTAACACATATACACGTAAGATTACATAACACAAAAGGGCAAAATGCATGGCCACACAAACTAATTTACAACCCGGTGGCGGTTACAGGGTGTAAGTCTAGACGTGGAAATGTCAAAAAAATTTTGTCTTTAGTATAATCACAGACACTAATTGGTTATATAGTACGCTAAGTTAAGATTTTTCTCTTGTGAAATGAAATCAAGTTTTCACAAAAACCTTAAAAGTAATATTACACAACATATTTTTCTAGAATCCTTCATGCTTTTTCAAGAGCCAATTTTACTATTAACGTTCCCCGCACCCGAAATTTCGGTATTCGTCTCGCCTGGAATCAATTAATAGTACTAATTGCGGAACAAATCGTTAGTAAACCTGTCTCAGTGGACAAACCAACACCACCAACACATGCCCACTAACGGGTCAACATTAACCCTTTAACGATCGACCGCCGCATTCGATTCGCCGTTAAATTGGTTGTAGGAATGCCGTAATGAAGTTATTCTCCGTCAGCAATAACTAGAACGGGCGATAAAATCTAAGATCGTATCCGGGAAATATCGCGTCCCCTGTATGTAAATCACCTACGAACGGGAATGTTCGATACCCCACAGTACACCGGCTATTTGCATAGAGTACAAAAGTGTCCGAACGCGAATGCAAATGGACACTATTAAAGATGAAGTTTATGCGTGTTTGGACCTCGGATTCGGTTTTAACGATTATATCCGAAATTTACGGCCAGTCCTTAAGAGCTACTAATGATTTTTGTCGATAAGGTCGCGCGGTGTTTCTGGTCCGATCTTATCGAGTTTCCCTCGTTGGGTTTGTACAAATTGCGTTATCTGTTTCGAGATCCTTGTTAGTCCGGGAAAATATTGAACGAGTTACATAAAATACACATCCTTGTTATGGCTCACCTACACTTTAAGGTTTAGACCCCTTGAATTTCAAGATACAGGTCAAAAAGAGCCTTGCTAATTCCACCGCAGTAAAATGCGAGTTTTAATTTTCACTAAAGAAAATAATATTTAGCATCAAATTTTAACGTCAGATGAAACAGTTTTTATGCACATGTTTGTTTAAGACTATCAGCCATTACTCTTACATTTTATTGGCAAATACATGCCATCGTATTCAGCAAATACATGCCATCGTATTCAGTAGATGTGGTATCAACTACGCATAGATGCGGTATCAACTACGCATCTTTCACGGCTAACGAACGTTCAGTTAATTACAGAGAAGAGTCGTCTATTTGCAAACCAAATCCATTCTAGAGGAGTTGTTGAGGTTACTACACATAAACAAGGGACTAAAGGACCAAGTCCGCAGGCCATCCGAGGGGACTGCTTGCTGTAGTCTAGAGGTCACGGGTTCAATTACCGGGATAACACGTATCTGATTGATTTTTGGGAAGTTTAAACATTCATGCACTCTATACTAATACTACACAATAATTGTCCTTCATCATTAGGCTTTTAATAAATGAGAATTTTTATATCAGCCGCGGTTTTTCGATACGGACGAAATGAGCCACTACACCACAAACCCCGATGGCTACACTTCGTATCTTTGCGGTAATGGTGTTTCCCTCAAGAGAAGAGAGTGACGTTTCGGCATGACAGCTGACAGCCAATACTGTAAATATAATGCTCTCGTCCGTATCGAAAAACCTCAGCTGAAATCAAAATTGTTCATCCTGCACATAGAACCAGCTGATTTTCCTCTGAAACAAAGCAATCATTTGAAATTTCACTCATAGACCGCAATATACTCACGCTGGAAGTGTATGCGTTGAATATCAGATCAATCCATCGGGGAAATTGAAAAAAAAAACTATCTGAAGAAAAACAGTTCATCAGAGAGTAAGTGTTTCAGCTAAAACTTAGGTCCGGAACCAAATATTAAACAAGGCAGATCTGATTAAACGACACAACGAAGAAACGTTATACATTTTTGGAGTGTTCCCCCCAAAGCGCAAGTAAAGCCACCGAGGTCACAGAAAACGCTGACATTTATCAACTAATT